AAATTTCATAAAATAAGACTCATAAGAAAAAGAGAAGGGGAAAAGAGGCAAATAATGGTCAAGAGAAGAGAATGAGGAAACCACAGTGGATGGAGATGGCTAGTAAAGGTTACACTAAAATTTATTGGTGAAAACTAAAGGGGAAAATTTTTTTAGCAAATTTCTTTGTGTAAACTATTAATCCCAAAAAAAAAGTTTTAATTTGTTGTGAAAACTATAAACTATACCAAGAAAGAGTTGTAAATTGAAAGAAAACTAAAGACGAAAGGAGAAGATAAAAGAGAAATGGTGTTAAATAGTAGGAATCTGTAGGAAATAGAATATTTTGTATTTTGTAATTTTGTATTATATTGAGGGTTTTTATGTAATTTTACATTGTATATAACCCTTATATAAATATGTTGCTAAGGGTGAGTAGCTAGGTATGTCTTTTGCACCCTCCACTTCTACCTTTGATTTTACATGGTATCATAGCAGATTTTGTTTGTTTTTAAGACATTGACGCTAGGGATTTTGACTCTGTAACCACTGACTGCAGCGATTCCACTTTCTTTACCACTTCCTTTGACTCATACTCTGCCACCACTAGTATCAGAGGTGGTGGTGGCGAGAACTCTCCCCTTTCTTCTTTTTGTGTCATTGTAGAGGAATTTGATATTGAAGCCAAACCAGGTTCCTCATTTCCTATTTTGTCACGATCATAGCGTGGATTAGAGATTAGATTTCTTGATTGGGTTTTTCATATCGTATTGATATTAATATTGATTACCCTATTATTTGCTTTTCTCCTTGGTTGATTTGCATCTTGATTTGTTGTTGCGGAATTGGATTCAATAATGACTGAGAAAAATGAGACTTTGGCTGTCAAATTAGATGGAAAGAATTTTCCTTTGTGGAAATTCCATTTTCAATTCTTTGTAGAAGGCAAAGGTTTGTGGGGCTGTATTGATGGAACCGAGCCTATGCCTGAAGCATCAAAAGTCAAAGAACTTCAACAATGAAAGATGAATAATGAAAATTTTGTTTCTTGGATTTTGGCTTTTATTGATATTAATATTGGAATCCCTATGTGAGGATTTTGCATTGCTAAGGCAATGTGGGAACATCTTGAAAAGATCTATCAGCAATCAAATTGGACTAGGAAATTTCATATTGAGTTTGACATATTCAAGTTTGCACAGGGTGATAAAAATATTCAAGACTATTTTGCTATTTTCATGAGTCTGTGGACTGAATATGAGTAGGGGATTATGGGTGATTGTGAGGATTGTTGCTCACAAAGTTTACAAACTCTAAATGATGAACGAAAAGTGATGTAGTTTTTGATGAAGCTAAGACCTGAATGTGACCCTCTTCGTGCCAGTATATTGAGCCGAGTAAAATTGCCCTCTATGGATAAGTTATTGGGAAAGCTCTTTTGGGAGGAGACTAGACTTTCAACACAAGCCACATTAGACAAAGGGGAAGCTGAAACTGTATTTGTTGCTAGTAAAACCTTGGGAAGGATATCGCAGAAGGATTTTTCTAAGGTGCAATGTTTTGAATGCCAAGGATTTGGCCATGTTGCATCTTGTTGCACGAAGAAAAATGCTTGTGTTTATTGCAAACAATCTGGACATATTATTACAGATTGTCTTGAGCTGAAGCAGAAGGGGACTAATTCCAAGAAGAAATCCAATCATTGAGTATATCAAGCAACTAGTTCTTCATGCATTAAATCAATTCCCACACTATCATTTGCATCATCTACTACAAATAATCCTAGTTTTGTGGAAGGAAAAGATTCACCTATCTTAGATGAAGTTTGAAAATTGGTACAGAATTTAATATCCTCAGCTATTACTTCTGCTTTTTCTATTATTGGTCTATCTGGGAAGAATTCAACATTTACTTCTTTTGTAAATCCTTTTTGGTTTATTGACTTTGGTGCTTCAAATCATATGACTAGAGCTCACCTTACCCTTAGTTAAGCCAAACCTTTCCAAGGGAATAATAAAATTGAAACTGCAAATGGTGAAAAACTTGATATAGTTGGTATAGATAATCTTACATTATCTATCGCATCTCAATCCTCTTTTCATTTGCCAAATGTCTTTCTAGTACCAAATTAACTACCAACCTAATTTCTGTTGGACAACTTGTTGATGATTTTGATCATGTTTCTTTTTCTCGTTCTAGTTGTGTTATACAGGACTGTCGCACTGGGATAGTGAAAGGGAAAGGGTGTAGGATTGGCCGCTTGTTTGCCTTGGAATTTGACAAAGGACATAGTGATGTTGGTTTATTTGTTTCTTCTAATAAAGATGTCTCTAGTTCTAATAATCTTTGGCACTTATGGCATCATAGACTTGGTCATCTCAATGTTAAGAGATTAGATACATTATTTACTTTTGGTCTTTTGAATAATAAAACTTTGCCATTAGATTCCATTGATAAATCTTGTATTAGTTGTTCTTTGATTAAAAGTGAAAACTTACCTTTTCCAACTCATTCTTTGACTCCAACTAAACCCTTTGATTTGATACATAGTGATGTTTGGGGTCTTTCTCCTGTTTCATCTAGATTGGGTTATAAGTATTTTGTTTTATTTATAGATGATTGCACAATATTTACATGGATATTTTTTATGCGAGACAAATATGAAGTGTTCCTTCATTTTAAGACCTTTTTATCCATGATTAGAACACAATTTGATACTAATATAAAAATTCTTTGTTCTAATTCTGGGGGTGAATATTTACTAAAAGAATTTTAAGAATTTTTGAAGGTTGAGGATATTCAATCTCAAAGGTCATGTCCTGCTACCCCATAGCAAAATGGTATTGCTGAAAGGAAACATCATCATATTTTAGAGGTAGTTAGAACTTTGTTATCTGATTCTCATGCACCTCCTAACTTTTGGGTTGAGGCTGCTTCTATGGCAATCTATCTCATTAATCGTAGTCCTTCTGAAGTATTACATAACACCTCTCCATATTACTCCTTGCATTAATGTCATCTTGATTCTTCTCATTTACATGTTTTTGGTTGTGTGTGATTTGTTCATTTACCTCCTCATGGAAGGACAAAATTATCAAATCAAGCTACCATGTGTGTTTTTGTTGGATATGGTGTTGGTCAAAAGGGTTTCTTGTGTTATGATCCAAAAATTGGTAAAATTCATGTTTTTTAGACATGTAGTTTTCCTAGAAATTTTATTTTATTTTGATGCAATTGCAAAGCCCAATAATTCCTCACCTTCTGTGTTGCATGACTTTTCACTTGATCATAATGATCTAACAGAACAATTTTCCATTGATTAATTCCATGCAACAGACGAACATCCTCAAACTTGTTCCTTTCACCAACCAAAAGATGGTACACCTGTGGATGCTCAATCAGTAAGTGATTCTAATCCTACTTCTAATGCCTTTACTAATTCCATTGTTTCTCTACGTCGTTTTACTCATACTATTCGTCCACCTAATCGTTTTAACCTTTTTACCTTTTTCTCTTTATTGACAACATTAGATTTTGTTGATATGCCTTGTTATTACCAAGAGGCTGTTAGCATTCCTTGCTAGAAGGAAGCTATGGATTTCGAATTAAATGCCTTATTGGAGAATGATACTTGGGATATGGTACCTTGTCCATCTAATGTGTCTATTATTGGTAGCAAGTGAATCTTTTCTGTTAAGCTCAAAGCAGACAATAGTATTGAGCGGTATAAAGCAAGACTTGTTGCCCAAGGTTATAAGCAAGAGTATGGAATTAATTATATAGAAACATTTGCACTAGTGGCTAAAATGACTACAGTGAGATTACTTATTGCTCTTTCGGCAATGCATCAGTGGCCTATTTCTCAAATGGATGTGCAGAATGCTTTTCTTCATGGGAATTTGAAAGAAACTGTTTATATGAAGCCTCCTCTAAGTTATTCACATGCTAAATCCATGGTTTGCAAATTAAAGAGATCATTATATGGTCTTAAGCAAGCTCCTTAAGCTTGGTTTGAATGCTTCCGTCAAGTTATTGTTGATGCTGGGTATGTTCAGAGTTCTCATGATTCTCATGATTATTCCTTGTTCATGCATCACTCTACACAAGGTGTTACTTTACTTTTGATTTATGTCAACGATATGCTTATTACCAGTAGTAATAAGGAAGGTATTGCTAAGTTGAAAGAGTTACTTTGTCGTTCTTTTTAGATGAAAGATTTGGGGCCACTGACTTATTTTCTTGGTTTAGAAGTTCACTCATCTTCTCGTGGTTATACAGTGAATCAACGGAAGTATGTTCTGGATTTGGTCCAATTTGCGAATTTATCTGATTATAAATGTGTTGACACTCTAATGGAAGTGAATGTCAAGCTTAGGAGGATGGTGAAAAACCCTCTAATCTTAGCTTTTATCGTCAACTTGTGGGTCGCCTCCTTTATCTTACTATGACTAGACTTGATATTGCTTACACTATGCCAGTAGTTAGTCAATTTGTCCTTTATCTTACTATGACCAAACCTAATATTGCTTCTATTGTGCAAGTGGTTAGTCAATTTGTTGCAAACCCTCGGCAGTTACATCTAACAGCTGTTCTTTGCATAGTTCGATATCTTCATGGCACTATTTCCAAGGGACTTTTATTCTCCTCTCATCCTTGTATGCAATTGCAAGCTTATGCTGATGCTAATTGGGTAAGTTGTCTTGATACATGTTGCTCAACCATAGGTTGGTGTGTGTTTCTTGGTGACTCCCTTATTTCTTGGAAATGCAAGAAACAGCAAACAGTATCCAAATCCACTGTTGAAGCTGAATACCAAGCAATGTCTTCAGCATGTAGTGAATTGACTTGGCTTTGAGGATTTTTACAAACACTTACTTTTCCTACTCCTCGGTCACCTCTTTATGTTGATAATATGAGTGCTATTCATATTGCATCCAATCTTGTCTTTCAAGAGCGTACCAAGCACATTGAAGTGGATTGTCACTTCATACCGAATATGTATCTTGCAAGTGTAATTACTCTTCCTTATATTGCTTCTGAGCATCAAATTGTAGATATTTTTACAAAGGCAATGACTACTACACGACACAAGTTTTTAGTGAGCAAATTGACGCTGGTTTCCCAACCTTAGTTTGAGGGGGAGTGTAGGAAATAGATTATTTTGTATTTTGTAATTTTGTATTATATTGAGGGTCTTTATGTAATTTTATATTGTATATAACCCTAATATAAATAAATATGCTGCTAAGGGTGAGCAACTGGGTATGTCTTTTGCATCCTCCACTTCCGTCTCTAATTTTACAGAATCAATGATTTGAACAATTGAATTTGAGTATCATACAAGGAGAGTCACTTTAAGGCAGTTATACCTTGTCATAATGAGGCATGACAAAAGCATGATACAATTGAAACAAAACAAAGCAAAATACGAAGATAGCTTTCTTTTAGATTTGTATATGAACACAGGTAGCGATACTATTTGGTTCAATACCTTATTAATATATTTATTAAAAAATATTATTTTTGGACATAAAAGTAAAGGTAAATAAATTTGAAAATATAATTATACATACATAATGTAAGAACTAATTAAATTAATTATATTTGTATTATATTTTAATAATTAAGCCAAACATATATTAAAAAAGGTATGTCCAATTAAAAAATTTACTAATTATTTTTCTTTGTATGTACCTAGATAAGGAAGCCATTTCAAATTAATCTTTCGAATGCCTCTTAAGTTTTTTCATTTTTTTAATTTCCTTTAATTTGGTACGTTAGCCAAGAAGGAATGTTTTTCACTTTGATCTTAATTAATTCTATTTCGATTAAGTTTTTCTTAATATATCCATCTTGTTTCTTTTGGTTGGGAA